ATTCACATGCAATTTGATAGAGAATAATGTGGTGTAATGTGTATGTTATGGTTGATTTGCAAAGTTGTATTTTTTCAGAGGAACATCAAATAATGATGTTTTACAATATCTCAGATTGGATGAAATACTATAATGTAATAGCTACAATTGTTTTACAGTTACAGTATATGTAATTGTTCATTAGATTCATAAATGAGTTAATCAGAACTGACTGCCATATCTTAAGTCATCTTTGGCAAATGTCTTCATCTATTTGAGCCTGTCTTCTTACCTGTAAGGATGTTGATGCTATGTATTTTATCAACTAGTAAGAATTAAACACACACACACACACACACACATTTAAAAATAGTAAGGGCTGAGTGTGTTTATTTCCTTCCGACTATGTAGTAAACCTTTGAAATATAATCACTGTAATCATTGCAAAGGCTTGAGTGGCCTTCACCAGTTTATTTTCCAGAGGTGAATTAATCTATCTATCCAGTTTTAAAGTTAATTAAAACTTAGCTGACATCAGAGAGGGTTTCTAAATTATTAAGAGCTGCATTACACAAATAAAAAAGGAGGATGCTTAATTCATTTTTAGTCACTTGAAACCGTCTTATAAATTCTTCAAAGCATCAATTTTTCTTCTTCATCTTTCTGGTGCGGTTTGAGTAGAGTCATGATTAGCAGATGGCACTACTTGACTATTTTTACGTTTGTTGCTTTCCCAAAGTGTGGACGGGGCTCACAGTTGTTTGTCCCATCTGCATGAGGACTGACAGAGAAAGGGCCAACCACTCTTTTTTGGAGCAAAAGGTAAATTAAGATTTCAGTAACAGTAAGGATCATAATCTAGAAAGCAATTATTAGAGTATCTGTGTGTCTTAAAGGATTTCTTGAGCAAAGTATGTTAGTGTTACTGACATTTGAACATCATCTTAGGGGCACATATTATTAAAAGTAAGTTAAATAATCTTTTAAGGTGCTCAGCACAGCTCTTGCCACATAACAACCACAATAACTGATCCCTCATTGACTAAATCAAAGATGCACATTGTGTAAGAAAGGTTTTATTTTTACTATTCCGAATAGAACGTAGTTGCTTTAGCACATAATTTTCAAAGTACGTTTGAATAGCATAATGAAATTGTTATGTTCCTAATAAAGGATTCATACATTTTCTACATCAACGTTTTTATCTGTTATGAAAGTAATACCACAGTAACATTCTGCTTCTAATCCATGATTTCCAGTATTTTTGCTTTTACAAACATTGCTGCAACAAATATCCTTGCAACATGAATTAAATTTACGAATGTTTAGGCATATCTATAGGCTAAAGACCTATGTGGAAATGCAATGGAAAGTGGCATAATTTTCAGAGGTATTGTCCATTTGTCCTTTATATACATTTTATCAGTTTTTGCTGTTTTCTCAATATGAGACCTTGTTTTGCCACATCCTAATAATTTTAGTAAATACATTTTTGGTCAATCTAATAGATATAAAGTGAGGATTTAGTGTAGCTTTGAATTTGTATTTTTGTGAGAACACTTGAGCATTGTTTCATTTGGTTAATAATCATTTGTATTTCCTCTTTGGTTAACTGTTTCTGCTTATTCTTTTCTCATTTTTGTATTAGGTTGCCGGTCTTTTTAATTTGTAGGAGTTCTTTAAATATCACGAACAATAGAAGTTTAACTACAATATGAAAAACTTTTCCAGGATTATCTTTTCAGCTTATTGATGGTGAGTTTTGGCAATGTATTTATTTTTGTGTGGTTGAACATATCAGATTTTATGGTCTTTGTGCCATACTTAGAAAGGCTTTCCCAATTTCAAGAATTTTTTAAAATCCCATTTTATTTTAGTATTTTTTATTTAATTATTAATCTAGCTGAAATTAATTTTGATAAAGATCAAGAGTAGGAAGCCAACATTTTCCTCTAGATGATTCCTTAGCTACCCCAACACATTTTATTCAATAATCAAATTTTCTTTGCTGATTCGAAATCACATCTCTTCATATATATATTTCCAAATGCTTTCAGATTCAATTTTGGGCTTCCTAACCCTTTGCTCTCTCTGGCTATTCTTATACTAACACCATTTTTTAAATTTTTTATTTTTATTTTTACATTTAGAGGCACACATAATATTCATTTCAGCAGAATGCTGAATGAGCCAAGTCTTTATCATCATCACAGAAGAAACTTTTGGTAAACAGAAGTAAATATAAAATTGTACCAAAAATTTAATGGTCAAATTTCATTATTACAAAATATTTTAGTAGTCAACTTCTAGGAGTTTAATAATTTGCAGAAGAAATTTGTCAGTACCACCGTTGTTCTTGGCTACTCTACTATAACACTAAATCGTGTGTAATTAAATTGATGTTCAACTAGGGTTAGTGGAAGAGGGTTTTTCCTTTTTTTTTTTTTTTTTAATGTAGCTCGTCCAGTATAGGTTACCTATGATGGTGGTGTTGCTCTATTTTCTTTTAAATAATAACTAAAGGTTTTGGGCCAGCCGAGTGGCGCATTGGTTAAGAGCTGGCTTGGGACGCCAGAGGGCCCCGGTTTGGATCCCACATATGAGAGCCAGTGACACTGCCCTCTACAGCTAAGATGCTGAACAACAGCTCGACTTGGGGCTGGGCTGCTGTGAGTCGCCAGCGACGGTGGCATAGTCTGCAGTGGGTTGCCATGGGCTACTGTGTGTGGCCAGCAGCCAGAGTGAGCAGCCAGCAGCCGCAGTGAGTGGCCGTCCAGAGGCCTACGGCTGAGCTGCCTCGCCCAGGAAGAGCCCAATGATGGTGCCAACTTGGGCCAGTGAAGCGACATCCTCCACAACTAGACTGAAGAACAAAAACGACAGCAACTTGTCTGTTCCCCTTCCCCCAATTCCCCAGTAAAAAAATCTTAAAAAAATAACTAAAGTATACATTTATTTCCCCTACAATTTCTGAACTTGAAGACTAGACTTGGCAGTAATGTTATTTCATTGATGCTGTATCATGAACTAAGATGCTTTCAGAATATTTTTAGTAGATGTAAAGTGTCACCCTTAATTTCAATGCTTATCCCTAATATTTTCTTGCATTCCCATTTCACATTATTACTGGAGAAAAATTTGTCCTTAAATGATGAATCTTGAAATGAAACAATGAACACCGTTTTTCAAGATAACAGAATTGTCTCTTAATTTTCATCTGCATCTCAGGTATATTGGGTCCTCATCAAGGTCAGTATTTTCCCTGGAGTTAAATGATAAAATGATGTTATAACAAATATCATGTTAGAAATATATGCACTCTCAGGCATAGTAGCTCAGTTGTTTCATCAGCAGGTCCCAGCAAACTAATTACATTATCTGCAAGCAACCATTGATTATTAGCAGAACTTATCTTAATAATTAAGGTTCTTTTGTAGTTTTTATCAGATTCTCTTTTACATGAACTAGCTTGTATTCTATCTTTTTACACATCTTATATATGTTCAGAACTGGCAGTTCTAACATCTCATGAGCCATATATTATTTACCTGTGACTAAAAAAAAATTATTAAAATGGTTCACAACTTTTCTGCTTCTGGCCAGTAAATATGACTTTACTCAGTACTATAATTACTTTCTGATCATAAAAATGAAGATGTTAACAAAATGCTAAACTTCGCATACTCTCCAATAGACTCGCTTTATGGTCAATGACAATTTCTTGTCACTTTTCTTTGCAGTTTTCCATTCTCTAAACATATCTTCTTCACTCACTTTAATTGTGTTGATTCTGTGTGAGATCTAAAATCTCTCTATAAGTAAAACAGAAGGATGCACTGCTGAATTTATTATTAACATGCCCTGATGACAAACTATTCCTACATGCCCAAATGCCTAAAATACAAAGCTCAGAGAAGTGCAGTTAATATCACTAGCATTAATTTTTTTTTACACAGCAGAATGTAATTCAGAAAAAAAAATATTTTCAGTAATGTCTTCTAAAAGGAATTTTTACTACATTTCATAACTTGGGAAATACTAAAAAATTCTCTTCTTCAACTATTGAAAATGGTTGGAAGCCCATATAAATCTTTTCAAAGATACTGTCCTTTAAATTCTTAGTTTTCACAGACTCAAAACTAAAAAATTGTTTCATTAGAACATAGCCAAGTATTTTGTTTTGAAGTTTGATTAATGGAAAAAATATGTTTTGAATACTTGGTTTTTCTCTAAGACATTTATTATCATTTAGATTCTTCATTATATCTGACTTCAAGATTATCTACCACAGATGTCATTGCACATGACTTTGGAGTTTTTGTCACCTCAGTTCCAAAAGGAGCAAGATTAACATTCTCTTTTTAATTAATCTTAGAAGATTGGGAGATTTTTCCCAAGAGGAACTTTTTCTGGAAGGATCCTTGTCCTAAATAAAATCAAACAACTAAAACTTAAATTCATCTCTTAAAGGATAATTAGTTCATGTTATGAACACCAAGTAGTTGATTAAACAACTATGCAATGATCAGAGGTCTGTAACTCACAAACCCACCTGCTCCTAACAGCTATGTTACTGGGCTCAGACAGAGAAATTGTTAGACAAAATAGCCTTTATTCAGCGTCAAGTTTACATAGATTTAAGAAAGAGTATAGGATAGACAATAACCATGGTCTTGTAACTCCCAGGACGTTTCCAATATCCCAGTCACTTAGCACTCACAGGACCATAAAACAGGAGGCCGAGGGAGTGTGCTCCATGTTGTCTCAGAAAGCCCTTCGGCCTTGATTTTTAACTCGTCATGAGGCCCGTCCGAAGTCACTTTAGTAGAGCCTATGCCTATCTTTGGATTATGTCCAAAATACCTTTAAAATTCCCTTGAGAGAGGTAAGCTGGACCTTTCACATGCTATCATTAAGTTCCTTAGAAATAGTAGGCAACAGTGAAGAGATACAAAGTTTTCTAAGGCAGAAAAGTATACCCCATATTACCTTTCCAGCACTACAGTAATTCAAAACAAAGGTTTCAGTCAAAATATTTATTCTGTACTTAATTGGATTCAATGGTAATACAAGTATTGTGAACCAGACTTAAGTTTCTCATGTATTGTATTGTAAATGTCCAAAACTCTATATAAAACCCCACGTCCTCGTTACTTTCATAATTCATACTATAGAACCTCGAATTTAATTGCGTGTGCTTTGAAATAAATTCTCTCCTTGACCATGACTGTTATAGATTTGAAAGGACCAGTTCCAGTTAGAGAGAATGACAACAGCGATACCAATCAGGCCCTCAGTCAGAAAGGTAAACACACAGGGGAAAGACGGAAGGTACTAGAGAGAGAAGAAACGTTCATTTATATTGTTTCCAACTGACAGCAACCAGATCCAGGATTCTAGGGTGGTGTGAGTGCTTCTCGAGTCATTAGGAAGGACATTTTCACGTGTTTAAGAGAAATAACCAGACACCACAGTAGCTGAGCCTAGTCAAAGTATAATATCTAAGGATAACAACTATACATAAAGTATTAAAGTTTTGAGAAAAAAAATTGCTAAACAGGAACTTTAAGCCTTCTGTGGCTAACAGTCTAAAAGCCTTCCTCAAAAGTGAAGATGGAATACAGAAATACAGACTCATCCACTTACGGTAAGACTACCACCCTAGTGCTCACACTAAAAGCTCCAACTTGGAAACCTTACCAAACCAGAGCACTGTCAGTTTAAGAGATGTTAGAAAGGCTGTAAACATTATCCTGAATATGGTGGCAGCAATGACAGCAGAAGCCTAAGTGTTCAATCTAAAGTGGAGAGCCACTAGCAGGACTACTTCACCCAATGGTCACGTTAGGCTCCAGAGGTGCTGTCATTGTCATTTTAAAGCCCAGTACTGGGAAGAGTCACAGAGCAGCACCTCTGCCCCCTTAATCCACTCTCAGGAATTCGCTCCGCATGGAGAAGTCGAGTCAGGCTGCACTCGGCACACACGAGCACCAGAGAGAAGCCGATGCCAAGTCAGCAGCACTGGGGTTTGCTCTCCGCTGTCAAGGGCTCCTGTTCCAGTTTAATTGTGTCCAAATCGGTTTCTTCGCTGGGAAAGCTTTGGTGGTTCGCAAGAATATTCTTCACTAGGAACCGGGCTGCTTCATCTATGTTGATGTTATCCTGTAATGCAGAAATGGAGAACAAGATCAGTTCTTAGGGTTCTTAGAAGAAAGATGTCAAGTTATTACCAGGAACTAGGAAAATGCCTCAGAGAGGCACTGTAAGTACGCCAGCTACCATCTTCTCCAATACTCAAGTGTTCGCTAGGAGTTCAATGCTGTTAAGTAATGTGTAATGTGGCTATGGAACCCTCTTTTATTTGCAAAGGATCACCTTTTCTTATGTACCGTTTTAAACTGTTTTGCCACTGAAGTTCAAGGAAATATCGTCACGGTGAAAATGAATCTTCAACACCCTGCCCGGGGTCGCCGCTCACATCAATGATAGCACTAAGATGATAGAACCCCGCCCTTGAACATCTAATTCAGGCATTCAGGATTCATTATGAAGAAAAGTGTCAAAGGGCATCATGCTGCTCCCCCATCTCTGAGTACAAATTATTACTTTTAGAACTAAAAGCAATGCTGTAAGTGTGATGTCCATAAGGAATCACTAGCTATCACATTTGTGTGACAGGTTTATAAGTTGTCATTAAACACACAATAAGTAACACATAGCAAAATCGGTGAGTTTTAAAGTATTTAACTTATCATTTTTAAATAACTTCAGATTTACAAAAACATTGCAACAATAGTAAAAATTTCTATATACCTTCACCCATATTCCTCAGATGTTACCATCTTAGATAACCAGAGTACAACCATCAAAATGGGGGGATTAGATATTGTGTCAGCATTAATCTAACGACCTTATTCAAATATCACCAATTGTCTCCATGTCCTATTTCTGATCCAGGTGAGCAGCTGTATTCTATGGGCATGTCTCCTTGTCTCCTTTAATCTGAAACAGATTTTGCCTCTTGCCTTTCATGAACTTGACACTCGTGGAGAGTATTGACGGGAGAATATCCCTCAGTTTGGGTCTTTCTGATGCTTCCTTATCATTAGAGTCAAGGTACGCATTTCTGACAGGAATAAAACATAAGTGATGTGTCCTCAGGGTGCTGAGGAGGCACACTTGCTTAAAATCATGGCTACCAGGCTTCTCCACTGAAAAGTTACTATTTTAACCTTTGTACACAGTAAGTACAAATATGTAAATACCCTGTTTTTTCACCATACTTTTTTCCATTAATTTTAGCATCAATTAATTCTTCCCTAAAACAATTATTGTGGTGTTTCATGGTAATTTTCTACTTTCCATCATTCCTTCTACATTTATTAGTTGGAATTCTACTGTTAGGAAGAGCTTTCTCTTCTCTCCCACTTATCTATCCATTTGTTTATTCATATCATGGATTATTATTTTATCCTATGGAATAAATCCATTACAATACTATTTACTTTGTGGTTCCAATTGTCTTCGATGTTGGCACTCCTATAAGTAGGCTCCTGTGCGTTTCTCATAAGTCCCCATCACGCTTTGTGAGTGGGCTTTACTTTCTGACACCACAGAATATCGGTCACATCTTTCCTTGTCTCACCAGTCCTAGAATCAGTCATTTCTCTAGTGAACCCCGGTTCTTTTTTTTTTTTTTTTTGGAGAAAAGTAGTATTTAAAACTACTAAGGACTTCGTAAACTCATTGGCTCTGTGGTGTCATTGCTTCTAAGCCCTCTCAGCAGAGACCTAAATATATGTGTGTACCCATACACATTGATATATATATATATATATATATATATATATATATATATATATATATATATATCTGTTTCTACATATAAGGGGTGTGTGGATGTGGATGTGGGTATATGTACATGCACGAATGCAGAAATACACAGTGTGTATATATATTTATCTCATATATATATAACATTACATTCAGATTGATCGCTCCAATTCCTACCACTTAACATAAGGCACATTCTAGTCTTCTCCCTTATTTGCTACATCTTTCTCAGACAGTGAGAAACCTGCAAGACCTGTTTTATTTATTAAAGTATCTCTTCCAGCATCAACAGAAGCCTTTTGGCCTCTACTAGCATGACAAGAATTAACTTTAATTAAAATATTGATCTTTGAGTGTCCAACTGTCACTCAGTTCCCACCATCCCCATTGTATCAAATAATTATAACGTTCTCTAACTAAATTTAGTTGCAATTGATCAGGAATAGAAATTCCCATGTTGTAACTTAATTGGTCACACATTTTCAGATTGGGAATCCGTTATTTGCCATAAAGGTGAAGAGATGAAATTCATGAATTCAAAACTGTCTGTTGGCTACATTCGTATTAGAGTTCAGGTCACCAGAATTCAAGCAGAAATCAGATCTGAGGTTAGCTGCTGGTCAGCTCAGAAGTACAAGTATTAGCAGTGACCTTCAAGTAATACTTTCAGCTCTGACTAAAATTGTTAACCTAAATTTTATATTACTGTTATTCTCTTGGAACACTCCTGGTTTAGTACTAAGGAAATTCTGCAGAAGCTGTTTCTAATATATTTGTAGGAAAGCACAGAACATACCTAAAACTTTTACTCTTAACCAATGTTTTCCTCCCCATCCGTCAATGTAACACAATCTATAATAGCGGTTCTCAACCTGTGGGTCGCGACCCCTTTGGGGGTCAAACAACCCTTTCACAGGGGTCGCCTAAGACCATCGGAAAACAAAAAGATATTTACATTACGATTCATAACAATAGCAAAATTACAGGTATAGAGTAGCAATGAAAATAATTTTATGGTTGGGGGTCACCACAACATGAGGAACTGGATTAAGGGGTCGCAGCGTTAGGAAGGCTGAGAACCGCTGGTCTACAAGGAGCCTTCCCTGCTGTGATTTCTGACTTCCTATCTGGCCAAGAGCTCGCGCAGCTTCTCTGGCCTTCATCCCTCTTCCACCATCCACCATACTTTTTACTTATGAATCTAAATTTTAAGACGTTAGAATACAGTTATTTAAACAAACAGTCTTTAGCTTAGGAGTAAACACTTCTGTCTCCAGGAGACACTATTTTTCCCAATGAGTCCATCATCACTTAATATTTTCAGAGAGGTCTTTTTGTGCAGTCTCTCATAACTTTGCTTTCATTATTCTGATCATCAGTGGCATCAAATAATCTTCCCCTTTAAGATGGGTTTCTGATAAAGCTAAATGCAACCAGGGAGTGCATACGTGATTAGCATAAACATGTTTTTGTTTTTTATTTTTTTAATACATACAAGAAATTAACAGAAGGCTAATACTAATAGCTGGAACTGTGTTAAGATTACACCAAACTTATGGTTTCGAGTTTGTCTGCCATCATAAATTTCTCAAACATTTCATCACTCTTGTATAAGTTTGATTGTAACTTGGAATCTAAAGGGAAACTTCCAATGCACATAAATAAGCATCCTCCACCCTCCAATTTTTATAAAAGCTGGTGATTTTCACCTTTGTTTTCTTGTGTATCTAGGCTGTTAAAATTTTCAACTCACAACTTAATTGTTTCTGTTTTTCTTCAAAATCATATTATCCAGCTTTTCATAATGGGTGAAAAGAAAAATTCTCACTTTACTATTCATGAAGAAGCATGTCACAAGTGTTGATACGTCCCTCTTGTTCAAATTCTTTCATTCACAGCTAATATAAAATTCTTTGAACACCATCTGAACACATGTCTCCCGATCCTTCAATGACTGTGTTAGTCCTACACGTGAATTACATCTCCGCCAGGGACGTGGCCCTATGTTTTGTTAAGCCTTCTGTAAAAATTAAAAATGCTTGTGCTTCACAATACACCTCATACCCCATAAACTTTAGGTGCACAAGAAAAACTTCATTTGAAGACTCAAATACACAGAAAATGTCACTTGTTATTTGCTCTAAATAACAGCTTATTCTGATTTTAATGTAAAATCTGCCCTTCCATTCACCTCCCCATGAACCAATTGTGAAAGCATTCCAGCTGCTGACTGAAAGAATATATAACATAACCATGCTATGCTTCACTTTTCTCTACGTCTCCAACAACCACTCACATAAATCCATCGAAGTGCTTTATAGCGACAGCTCAGATTTACAAGTGAACAGCAGAGCAGACACAAATGCAAAGCACAGCTCACCTTTGCGGAGGTTTCAAACCATCCACTGAAGCCATGTTCTTTGCAGAACTGGTCCATCTGGGAAGGATTTTGGCCACCATCCTTTTTCTGGTCACATTTGTTAGCTAAGAGAACAGCAGGAATAGGGCCGCCATCGGGAAGGTGCACTTTACTATCCAGATCACTTTTCCATTTTAAGACTGCCTCAAATGTGGAACCTCTCGATAGATCAAAGACGACAAAAGCACCAACAGCTTCTTTGTAGTATACTCGGGTCATGTTGCCAAACCGCTCCTGCCCTAGAGATAAATATAATACGAGGTTAGGAACTCCTAATTCAGACACAATTCCCATTTAGATATAATGCCTCTGACCCTAAGAATAATGCCATAAACACTCATCTCCCATTCCACAGCAACATGAACTGGTGAGATTAAGGACATGCACGCAGAACTGAATCACAAAGCAGAAGTGATGCTCATGTGGTCCGAGTACACAACTGGCTAGTTTTGGTTTTGTGCACGTAAAACACATTCTCTATAAGTATCAAGATGCCAGAGCTTAAAGCTACAGAGTCCATCATTTTCCCCTCCACCTCCCCTGGTCTAAGAAAAGAGAGGTACTAAAGGAAAAAAGAAAGCTGGGAGTAAAGCAGGAAGAGACAAGAATAGAAGAAAATGAGGCTTGCAGGAAGGAGATAAGGGTAGTGGGTTATAGCTAGTCAGAAAGATTAGGGCTGGACATGAGATAAAGGAGCATGCACTCATACCTCATCTTCCCCTCACATCTCTAGCCTACGCTGCGTTTGACTCAGTGCAAGCTTGCTCTCTAAGAAGGCAGACACGTGCAAGTCGACCATTTTAGAACAAAAAGTGGCATACTTGGTTGTTATTAAAAGAAAGATCGGTCACAGAGCTCTTCAAATACGGTACTTTTAAAATAATTTAACATTTTAAATACTTCGGGAAAAATCTACTGCTTGCCATATAGGGCTTTGTGAAGCATTCACTTACTATCTGATATCATACCATTCTTTGATATAGGAAGGGCCCTTTCTTCACCAAACCGGTTACACACACACACACACACACACACACACACACACACACACACACACAAAGCTACCTGACCAGGATTACAGTAGCACTGACTAAAGAAGATGGGACTCCACACCTGGGTCCTCTGACTCTCACACGCCTACAGAAATATGATGCCAGCCATTCTGAACTATCTTGCAGTTGCTTTGACTTCTAAAGCTTATACCTTCAGTCTGTCAAGTTACTGAGCAGAATGCTAAGGAAATATTAGTGGCAATCAATGCAAATCAAAGATTATAACTCTTTGACCAATGATAAAATCACGACAAGAGGACACTTTTCTATTAAAACACATGATAAAAAACACACTTTATCTACATTTTACTGATAGTACCAAATGCAAAGCCACCCCTAACTACTATTTTCCTCCTCCAGATTCTCCTATACCATCATACAATTATAGATATTGCTTAATGGAATAATGGAAGAATACAATAGAGATATTAAGTTTGGTCCAAATTTTTATGATCCTGGGATTCTACTTGCCACAAACATGTAAGTAAAACGCAGGAAATTCCTGCCATGATGACTGCTCCCAGGTTGTGTCCCATGACAGGAGAGGACTAGGTAGAGAAGAAAGTCTGCAGTTATTAGATAAAGACAGCTGCGCAAGTTTTGTTCTGTGGTGTGTGTGTGTTAAGAGTTAAAGCTCACAGCAGTATGGAAACTCAGCAGAACCTGGGAAATCTTCTTAATGAGTCTGCAGAAGTAGTTCAGACAGGGGGGAAGAACCCTAAGCAACGCCACCTTCTTTGACCAGTGCTGTAGCCATTTCTTACTGGCAGGGGGAGGCCACATGTTCATGCTTCCCTGACAAAACACTTAAATGGCAATATTATAACTGGAAGACCACACCGCATATCATCTAGTCTGACTTCTCTTATTTTATAGATGAGAAAATAAAATCTCAGGGAGGTGAAAGTATTCAAATTTCCTAGTGATTTGTTACTAATGTACTGTCTGATCTGCTAGCCAAATATTTTCTGGGGTATACACACTACTCCCTATGTCCTCTCCATGTTTCCAAATAGATCCAAGACAGTCCAGCCCCATCAGTCTACGAGTGACTCTCCTTAAGGATAGCACAGCCCTACTCCAAAAGTTAACCCCCAGCTCTGAGTCCGCTAGTGCTTTACCACAGTGGAAATGCCCCACTGCCGAGTGCATGAGTCACCCCAATGCTAGGAGACAGCCTTTTTCATCCATATTGCTGGGGGCATATTGCCAGCATATTCCAAATGACTGTACAATGTTTTATCCTTTAAAACGATGGGTTACTTCCTTCTCTAGAAGAGGGAACCTTTATTATAACTAGACCTCTTGGCAGTGAGAAAGAAGAAAAAGAGCACAGTGCTAGTCATCTGGGTTCAAAGACTTTTAAAGATGCACCACGTCTTACATACTAAGGTGGATGAATCCTTAGGTACACATGTTGGCAAAGGCTTAAAATGCTTCTCTAATATTTGGGAGTATTCAACACTAATAACTTTGAAAAGGAGTTGAGACAACATATTTCCTGCAATACATATTCCAATGAAGGAAAAAAAAGCCACAAAAAACTTTGCCTTATCTCTTTATATCTAATGCAACTTTTCACAAGGATGGTGTTTCCTCTCCTAACTGAAATGAAAAGGACTGTATCCTGAGTGGTTACTAGAAACACAGGCCAGAGGCACGTTCTCTTTTGATTCTAATCACTGGGTTTCTTTAGTTTGTTAACGTTTGTCTCAATATTTCATGCTCATGTTCCCATTTGATAAATAAGAATCTCAATGTTATTTGAAACTCAAAATATAGATTTCACAAACAGATCAAAGCAATAGGACAACTGGAGCTTAGCTTTCCAAGTATAAATACTTACCTTTTCCCACTCACTGAGAATCACTGAGCTACCTATATTCTTGTTCAAGGTGACTGGATTAGAATGTATAGTTTCTAGTTAAGGCATGTAAAGTCCTTGAAAATTTTTCCTTAAATCTCATCGTGTATTTCAGAGTGAAGCACTTCTAACAAGCTTGTGTGATTGGCTGATAGATCGGGACCCAGTCAAAATTAAAGTCTCATCAGTGGTTCTAAAAGGATAATTATCTGTCCATTAGAAACGTTCAGAGCTTGCTACAGGTAATCATGTGATGCCATAATGTGTCTTGGGTTTTATATGTAAGAGGCTATAATTTGCAGGCACATAGGTTTTGCTATTTTTAGGCATCAGATTAATGAGTCACTGTACTACCATTGGGTTGTTGGAAAAGTCATGACACATTTTTGCAACGAAAAACAGAAAAAATATGTCATGACTTTTCCAACAACCCAATACTTTATCATGCTATTATAAACCTGCCCCAGCAATACACTTTAATATTTAACTTGCTAAAATTATAGGCACTGTTAAAAGTAAAACAATTTCTTACATTAAAGAACTACCATAATACTGACCAATAAAGCAATGTAACTAAGAACTGCCAATACAGCTACCTGCGCATTCACTTTCCTCTACACTGGCTCTCACAGCTTTCCATAAAACAAGTGGCTGTATTATCCTCAGTAAAAGAAGTGTACAAGGTAATGCATCAAATTAGCACCATATGATTGAGACTTGATATGCACTGAATTTCATAGATTAACGTTGTTCTATTAAGACGGTAAAAGTAGTCACACAATTGTACTCAATTCCATTCATTTCGCTAGTCTTCTTGTTTATCGTATGTAGGGTGAGAGGGAGTCAATATAACAAAACAACGAAAGCTTTGGAGTCATAAATCTGGTTCCATGCCTCGTCCCTGCAAGTCATAAGCAGACTTGGGAAAATCCCTTAACTTTCCCGAGTCGACTCATCTGTAAACTGCGACTAATTCCCACTTCTCCAGATTACTGTCAGTATAAATAAGAATAAAAAATAAATTGAGTAAGAGTGACTAGAAAACAGTTTTTAATAAATTTTAACTATTATTATGTGACAGGGTCAATAACCAAGTTTCCAACTCTGGGATTCTATGTTTACAGTTAGAAATATAAGTGTTGCCACCTGGAAAAATAAGCATGAGCGGGAAAGACAGGCTAAGCGACTATTTAAATCATGTACACAGCCTTGTTTATGCTCACAGTACCACCTTTTGAGATTGAGATTAAACCTGTCGGTCAAGCAAAAGAGTAACAAAACTGAATACAGAAAAAAAATAGGGTAATGCCTAAACTAAAAGGAAAAGAAACTGCTTTTGAGATGGTAGCAGTAGTATCACTAAGTAATGCTCAAAATGACCTATTCCCAGATACATGCCAATTCAGGCTCTGGATTTTTTGTTCTTCTTATCTTCAGACGGCTGGGCTTTTGTGGTATTCAGTCACCGTGTAAGGTCGGTCTCATCCAACTATTTACATTTTCTGTGGTGACTGTAAAAAGAACAGCTGACTTTAATCAATTTAAAGTAAAGGGTAAAGTGAGAATATCTTTCTGGTTTGTGTTTTAAAAGTTTAAGATATGGGCTTGTTTCCTTTAACGTATTTATTCAACAAGAGCAAGAAATGTACCACCTCTGCCCTGTAAACCCTCTTGTCTCCATATACGACCCTCACATTGGGGCTTTTGAGAGTCACACAGACAAGGAGGAAGTGATGTGAACAGAGAAGGGAACTTGAGGGTCAGGGGAGTTAAGTGTGAGAGGGAGCAGGGGAGCAGGTCGGCTTGTTACTTTATATGAAGAACTCCTGGGGTGCGGTGAACAGGTGGATCTGGCAGGAGCAAAGCCAGGGACAGAACAGCTGTCCTGGGCTTTAGTATAATTCAGATAACACATGGGGTTTGGTAAATTGCACATTTCCAAGCCCCACCTCTAGGCATTCTGATTTGTGAAGCATGGAGTATTGCTAGCTGCCTATTCCAATATCCCTCCGCAAAATTTTATTTGGGGAAGCAATGTATCCAATTAAAAAAAGAAAAAAAACCCTAGATTTCCTAACTGCCCTTGCTGCAAGGCATGTGCATTTGGTTGGACCACAAAGACACAGAATGTGGCCAAGGAATAGCTGAGTGCTGACATGTCAGCTCTAGTCCATGAAAACTTTCTAGTTCTGCTCTCCGGACTTAGATGGCCCAACCACAGACTGGCTGGTGACAAAATTAACTTCTCTCTTGTGAAATCGGGAAGTAGGGTGATGGCTGCCAAGTGAAGCCAAGTCTATTGACACCGTTGATGCTAAAGAAC